CTTTTTTTTTTTTTTGTCGGTCTTGGGGCCTGAACTCTGGGCCTGGGCGCTGTCCGTCAGCTCTTGAGCACAAGGCTAACTCTCTTACCTCTTGAGCCACAGCGCCACTTTCGGCCTTTTCTGTTTAGGTGGTGCTGAGCAATCGAACCCAGGACCTCATGCACGTAAAGCAAGTGCTCTACCACCGAGCCACCTTCCCAGCCTCTCAAATAATGTTTTGAGCCTTGGTAGTTCTGTGAGCCAGCCTGTTCTAGAAGCTTCCCGGCCTGGCCTTGAACCTTTGATATATGACAACTCTTCCCATTCAACCTTCACTAAAACCTCTTTCATAATAAAAGTAGTGACCTCCATTTATTATATGGTTGGTGTCTTTTATACTCAATTCCTCTAGGACCTTGCCTTTATATTCGATATAGTCTACTTCCACTTCTTTGACATTGATACTCACTTCACATGGGGTTTGAAAGACCTTTGTAAATTTTTTTATGGAAATACTTGGAATTCCTTTAAATCATCTAAAATCTAAGCTTCCTGAAGGAGCACCTAACAGTTCCCTATATACATGGAATTTGGCAAATTATTTTTTGTCAATGCTGGGACTTGAACTCAGGGCCTCTAGTGAGCTTGGCTTTTTCAGTCATGGCTGGTGCTTGACCATTTGAGCCATGCCTCCAGCCCAACTTTTTGCTGGTTCATCGGATGGAGATGGAGTCTCACAGACATTGCTGCCCTGGCTGGTATTGAATCATGATCCTCAGACCTCAGCCTCCTAAGCAACTAGGATTATAGGTGTGAGACACTGGTACCTGGCTGTTTCTCTTTTCTGGGAAGGACAGAATGCTTTTCTTTCACAGAAATACAGAACTTGTAAAAGAGCAACCAGTATGTTTACTTTCTGCTTACACAAAGTTCACCTTCTCTCACAGGTGTTCAGGCTGAGAAGAGTCAGGGAAGGGGCCTTCATTAATTCATACACATGTGTCAAGGTGAACAAAAATACGATTTAATTTGTTCTTTAATTCTCCCAAATAGTTTCCAGGAAGACTTAAGACTTCCTCATTCTCAACTCCAAGCTGAAGTGGAAACATTTTGAAACAAATATTTTTTGCAGTATGACTTTTTCCAAATATTCAATTTCCACTTAAACCCAGAAATATTGCTGAGTGCAAATATTTTCTCTAGGTCCTTGAAAGTACTTGTTTGACTAGTTCATGTGATAAAACAATATCTGTCAAGTAGGCTGCTTCTGCAACCATCCTTTAAAGCATTTTACAAAGTCTGGACCTACTGTTTTCTGGGAATTAACTCCTATAATTCATCTTACAAATCAAACATGCTTTGAAGAACTACAGCCTGTATTTCTCTTACCAGGTAATAAATTACCCTGACACTTGGTGACCAAAAGAACAAACATTGTCTTATATAGTTTCTGTAAGGCAAGGATTCTGGAATATTTAGCTGGATGGTTCTGTCTCAGGGTTTTTCAGGAAGTTTGAATCAAAATGCCATTCTTTGAAAGCTTGACTAGAACAGGAGGATTCTTTTCTAAAGGAGCTTGCTGCCAAGCCTGGAAACCTTACACTGCTCACCTGCAGGAAGTCTCAGTCCTGTGCTGCAGGGGCCTTGTTTTTTGATAGTACTGAGAGTTTGACTTCAGAGCCTTGCACTTAACTAGTCAGGTACTCAACCACTTGAGCCACATAACCAGTCCTTTTTAGATAGGTCTTAGGCCAGCATTGGACCATGATTATCCCAATGAGCTGTGATTACAGGCCTGAACCACCTTGCTCAGCCCTACATGGTTTTCTTTATGGTATGTCTGACTATTTACATGTCATCAACTGCCTTCTTTTAGAACAAATAATCTTCTAAACCATGAGATTTGATAAGTATTATATGTTGAATATGAAATGACCCCACAGATTCATGTGTTACATGCTGCCTCCCCCACTGGTAGCAGTATTTTGAGAGGTGGTGGAAACCTTGGGATATGGGACCTAGCCAAAGAAAGGGGTCCCTGGGAGCTTGATTTTGAAGGTTATCCTCATCTCACCTTTCTTTGCTTCCAGGCCACTGTGATGTGAGCTGTTGTGCTCCATGCCACACTTTCCCCACCATGATAGATCAACACCTCTGAAACCTGGAACCTGAATAAATAATTCTCCCCTTAAGTTGTTTATGTGAATTATTTGGTCAAAGCCACATGGAAGTTGGCAACATCCAGGAGTTTTATGTTGTTTTGGGTTTTGTTGTTATTTGTTTTTTTTTCTGAAACAGGGTCTAGATATGTGACCCAAACTGGTTTCAAGCACATGATCTTCCCACCTTAGCCTACTAAATGCTGGGACTACAAATGTGCTTTATACACCCCATTCATTCATCCAGAACTTTTTTCAGTACCAGGTCCTGACAGCATTTCTGTGGAAATAAAGCATGTGCTGTAAATACCTTGCTTTTATTTTACTTTCTTTCCTTTTCCTTTTCTTTTTTCAACAAAAGGTGAAACCTAACAGGGAGTTGATCATTAATGGGCAACATCCATTCAGATACCAACATACTTCTTCCAAGATAAGCCTTTTATTTTCAAAATGAAGATAACACTAAATATATCTTCACCTTTGCTTTGGGGGACAGTATTTTATTTTATTTTATTTATTTTTTATCAGTCGTGGGGCTTGAACTCTGTGCCAGGGCACTGTCCCTTAGCTCTTCAGCTCATAGTGCTCTGCCACTTGAGCCACAGCGCCACTTCTGTTTTTCTGAGTGGTTTACTGGAGCTAAGAGTCTCATGGACTTTTCTGCCCAGGCTGGCTTTGAACCACGATCCTCAGATCTCAGCCTCCTGAGTAGCTAGTATTACAGGCGTGAGCCACCTGTGCCTGGCTTGGGACAGCATTTTATAGCAAAAAATATTTCTTGAATTTTGCCCTGATTTTCAAATATTACAAATGCTGCTGTTATTCAAGTCTGATGATTCATCAACTTGGATAAGAACTTGGGGTTTCTACTGCTTTACTATCTTGTGATGTGTCTTCAGTCTTACCAGTTTATCAAACTTTGAAGATGAAACCTTTCAGTTTCCATATTACATCATGTCCTTAAATTTATGATCTATAATTGTACATGCTAGTACGTGAGGTTTTCACCAGCGGTGAGTGAGGGTTTATGGTTAAAAAGATAAAGTTGGCTCAGTAGTAGAGTGCTTGCCTTGCATGCATGAGGCCCTGGGTTCAATTCCTCAGTACCACATAAGCAGAAAAAAAAAAACAAGTGGTGCTGTGGCTCAAGTGGTAGAGCACTAGCCTTGAACTGAAGAGCTCAGGGACAGTACCCAGGCCCAGAGTTCAGGTGCCATAACCAACCCCCCAAAAAAAAATCTAAATAATTTACTTCTATAGTTTTTTATTAAAGGTCATGTTAAAAAGTTAAAGCTGGGCTTCCAAGTCACCAAGTTTTCTGTTTCTTTATTGTGACTCATAATTAAGTGCCTTGCCAGTTTTCCCAAAGCCATTGCTTCATTTATAAGTCAGAATTCTTTTTTTTGGGGGGGGGTCCAGTCATGGGCCTTAACTCTGGGCCTGGACTCTGTCCCTCAGCTCTTCAGCTCAAGGCTAGCGTTCTACCACTTGAGCAACAGTGCCACTTGCGGCTTTTTTCTTTTCTGCTTATCTGGTGCTGAGGAATTGAACCCAGGGCCTCAGGCATATGAGGCAAGCGCTCTACCACTGAGCCACCTTCCCAGCTCATAAGTCAGAATTCTTTATCACGATTCTCTTCCTTGTTCTAGTTCATCAGAAATCACCACCACATTTAGCTGGTTGTTGTGGCTCACAGCCTGTAATCCTAGCTACTCCAGAGGCTGAGATCTGAGAATCTCCATTCTGTCAGCCTGGTCTGGAAGGTCTGAGATTCTTATCTCCAATTAACCATAAAAAGCTGGAAGTGAAGCTGTGCTCTCAAGTGAGAGCACTAACCTGGGCACCAAAGCTCAGGGACAGCATCCAGACCCAGAGTTCAAGCCTCAGGACAGAAAGGAAAGGAAAGAAATGAAAGAAAAAGAAAGAAAGGGAAGGAAGGAAAGAAGAAAGGAAGGAAGGAAGAGGGAGAGAGGAAGGTAGGAAGGGAGGGAGGAAAGGAGGGAGGGAGGGAAAGAAAAAGAAATCACCATGTTAGACTGTAAAGTTGTGTTTATAAAACAAATGCTAATAAAGGAAGGAAAAGAAAAATCACCACATTAGACTATAAAGTTGTGTTTATAAAACACAAATGTTAATAAAGAGTATTGTTGGCCTAAAAGGTAGGTAAATTGAGCCACACCAATTATGAGAATACCACAGTTTATTCCAGCCAAAATGAGGATGATTAGCAGGAGAGAATAATCGATGCTCCCTTATATGACAACTAGGTTTTTTTTAATATAAAGTTTTAAAAAGAAGAAGAAAGTTACAGCTAATTTGTTACAACTGTATTGGTTGGCAAGAACAATATAGGACATTGATTGGTGATTGATCACTTACTCATCTAGGTACAAATTGTGATAGGAAGGAAAAGGCTTTTTAGTGAGTTAAGTTTTTTCTTTGTGGCATCAGGTAGTCTTCAGAAACCTGCAATGCTAGGTCAAAATGACCCAGGTAACTAAGGTCTGTACCTTATGTTTCTCTGGCCTAAAGAAGTTTATACTGGTGAGATTAAAAATCGTTTTAAAATATTTTCTGTACTCAGATAATATAATCAAAGCACAAACAATGCATGGCAAAAAAAATAGATTTTTTTTGTTTTTCATGTATTAGAATGTTTTCAAATTGATGTGCTTGTACTCATGTCTCTTTCAGGGTAATTTGTCTTATATGGAAAACAAGGCTGAGATGTGACTAAAGACTAGGGCAGTGATCTTTCCTGGAGTCCACAGTTCCTATTGGTTACCTCCGTCTGCTTGTTATTGGGAAAGCTCATTTGGTTTCAGTTCCAGTAAAACTCTGGGTTTTAGTCCATTTAAGAGTTCAAAAGTACAAAGCACTTTGGGAGGCTTTTTCTTTTTTAAATATTTTTTCAGAGGTTAAAAATTAAATTTCAAAAGCCCATCTGGGATGGACAAGAGTCTTCAACAGAGACACCTTACCTGAACACCTCCGACATGAAGCTCATTCATACTGTTTTGTTATTTTTGTGCTTCCACTTAAATCTTTGTGTGGTAAGTAGTTCAATCTTTATGCAGATTATATTAAGTAAACATTTTAAAAATTATAAAAATATGGCAAAATTCTTAAGAGATGTGACTTAGATAAATATCACATTTCCATTAATAAGAATGCTAAATAGTAATAAGTATGTTAATAATTTCATTAAAAATTTAAAGTTTTTATATGCTTGTGTATATGCATAGACATTAAACTGAACAGGAATTTTATTAATACACGCATTTCATTTATTGTCACATTAAGTCAACAAACATTTACCACACTCCTTCTATATATGTAAGGTCCTGTGCTAAGAAAATAATAAGTGTAATATCTTTCTCCAGTAACCTTGTAGTACAGGTATTGAAAGATAAGATAAATATATCATTGGGGAAATAATAAAGGAATTCACAATGTACTTAGGCATTATGCCCTAATAAACCCATCATAACTAGAATACTGTTAAGCCAAACATGCACCATAACCTATTGTTTGATTTGTCCTTCTAGTTTTTTCTTCATCACTACAAACACCAGCCTATTTTATTTTTATTTGTCCTTGTAATTTATTACGGTGTCCTCAGCATTAAACATTGTAAGTGATCAATAATAATTAAGGAGTACTCTACAATAGTTTCAGAGGCAATATTCCTTTCTGACATTTTATTAGCATATGTAATTGTACAAGGGAAGTCATTGTGAGATTTTCATACATGCGTACAGTGTACCTGATGTTCACCCACATACTCTCCCTTGCTTTGCCTTGAAACGATTTCAGTAGGTTTCTTTTTTTATAAACCTTATTTTATTGTAAAGATGCTGTACAGAGGGGTTACAGTTACATGAGTAAGGTAATGAGTACATTTCTTGTCGAGCATTGTTACCCTCTCCTTTGTTTTTCTCCTGCTATACCTTCCCTTCCCCACCTCCCCACTCCTCTTCCACCACCACCTCACCCCGCCTACGAAGTTGTAAAGTTCATTTCCAGCATAGTGTCTTGTGATTATCATTGTTGCAATGGGTCATTCTGTGTCCTTGTTTCAGCGTTTTGTTATTCCCCTTCCTCTCCCCAAATTAGATAAATGTATATATAAGATGCAGGGTACCAAAATCAATACAGTGACAACAGGGGATATACCACAGGAGGAAGAACATACAAAAGAAACAAATCACATAGTACATTAAAAACAAAAAACCCTCGTGTCCATATCTTGGGTTCATTTTGCTTAGCATCATCTTAAATGATCATATGTATATAGCTTTTGAGCTTTTCTGCTCTTCTGATAAAATTATCCTAGATGTATACTAATTATTTGAAAATGAGAGAAAACATGAGATCTATATTTCTTTGGGTCTGGCTTACTTCACTTAATATTATTATGTCCAAGTCTTTCCATTTCCTAACAAATGGGACAATGTCATTCTTTCTGATGGAAACACAGAATTCCATCACATGTGCATCTATATCTATATATCTCTATATATCACATTTTCCTGATCCATTCATTTACTGAAGGGCATCTGGGTTGGTTCCATGTCTTAGCTATGGTAAATAATGCTGCAATAAACATAGTTATGCCAGTAGCTTTAGTATGGCCTTGTTTGTGATCATTTGGGTAAAACCCAGAAGTGGGATTGCTGGGTCATAGAGGAGCTCTATGTATAGTCTTTTGAGGAACCTCCATATTGCTTTCCAGAGTGGTTGAACATGTTTACACTCCCACCAACAGTGCAGTAGCATTCCTTTTTGGCCACATCCCTTCCAGCATCCGTTGCTATTAGCTTTCTTGATTTTAGCCATTCTAACTGGTGTGAGGTAGAATCTCAGTGTTGTTTTGATTTGCATTTCTTTTTTTTTCTTTTTATTTTTTTTTAAATTTTATTTTATTTTATTTGTGAACATACTGTACAGAGGGGTTACAATTTGATTTGCATTTCTTTTATGGCCAGAGAAGTTGAGCATTTCTTCATGTGTCTATGGCCATTCTTATTTCTTCTCCAGAGAAATCTCTCTCTAAAATTTAGCCCACTTATTAATGTGGCAGTTGTTTCTTTGAGTATTTATTTTTGGAGAATTTAATTTTTGAGTTCTAAGTATATTTGAGATATGAGGCCCTTGTCTGTTTATGACTAGTGAAGATCTTCTCGCAATTTATGGGCTTTCTATTGATCTTTCTAGCTATGTCCTTTGCCATGCAGAAGCTCTGCAGTTTCATGCAATCCCACTTGTCCAACCTTTCTTTGATATGTTGTGTTTCTATGTCTTTATTAAGAAAATTTCAGCCTGTGCCAAGGAGCCCAGTAGTTTCTCTTATTCCTTCCTGTAATGTTTTCAGGGTGTCTGCTTTGACTTCAAAGTCTTTGATCCACTTAGAGTTGATTCTGGTGTAGGGTGATATATAAGGATCTAATTTTAGTTTTCTACAGGTGTTTAACCAATTTTGCCAGGAGCATTTACTGAAGAGTCAATAGGTTTCTTTGATATAGAAAAGAAAACTATCCTATTACTCAAATATCACTGTTAAATATTGGATACATACTGTTAACTATTTGATACATAACCTGCAAGAACATTTTAGTTGTCATACATAAAAATAAGTATGCAATTATGTATGTATATGTGTCTATATTTATTTTTCTTTTTTTGTGCTGGTCCTGGGGCTTGACTTCAGAGCCTGGGCATTGTCTCTGAACTTTTGTGCTCAAGAGTAGCACTCTACCACTTGAGTCACAGCTCCACTTCCAGCTTTTTGGTGGTTAATTGGAGATGAGGTTCTCATAGAGTTTCTGTAAGGAAACTGAGTCACGAAGGTATCAGAATAAAGAAAGGATAGAAAGCAAACTCAACACACATAAGAGGCTTTATTCAGGAGTGAAGCCTGGGAAGGGCAACCAAGTGTCCTTCAGCCTGAAGGGTAAATGGCACACTTTCCTTACAACCAGGGTCTCTTTCAAGAGACAGAACAGGTGAAGGGAGCAATGGAAGCAGGGTGAGATGGAGGCAGGGCAGGAGAGCAATCTTATTTTGACTGAGGAGTTTTAAGGTTTCAACAGCCACTGTGTTCATCAGGGGTGTCAGCATCAGATATGGCCTTGGTCTCAGGTCCTTTTCCAAGACCACTGGGGTAATGGGAATGGAGAAGGTTCAGCAGAGTCTGCAGTGAGGACAGTTCTAAGATACAGCTGTCAAGGTGCTTTAGGTTAAGTCACTTTCCATCACCTTCTTGCCTAAGCTGGCTTTGAACTGTGATTCTCAGATTCTCAGACCTGTAATTCTCCTAAGTAGCTGTAGTATCATTACAGGTATGAACCATGGAGCCTATCCACCTGCCCCACCCCTCCCCCTAAGACAGGATCTCACTGTGTATCCCAGGCTGGCCTTGAACTCATTACATTCCTGTCTTAGCGCCTTGAGTGTTAAGTACAGGCACACACCTCAACACTTGGTGAAAATATAACTTTTACAGAAATCATTTTAATCTATTAGAACATTTTTCCTGTTTCTTATTTTTAAAAATCAACTGCAAGTTCAAAATTCAGGCATCCCACATTTATTATGTCAAAATACAAGCCCAAGAAAGTATACTAATGATCTTTTTGTAATCTCTGAAGCAAAAAATTATTAATAGAGTCGATTCCAAAACAATATTTTCTGGTGTTTTCAAGAGACTAGAGATCAACATCTGCGAGCCCACATCTGCTTGACCACATCACCATCTTCCCATAGTTCCCAGCACCATTCTGATCCTGGGGTGGGGTTGGGGTGCTTGTTTGGAAAATAACACATAAGCAACCAAAACAATAAAAGATCATCAACTTTCTTATGAAAATTGGAATTACCTAATACATTAGATATTAATAGAGAAATTCTCTTTCCTCCACTTTTTTTTTTTTAAAGCTAATCAGAATGCGTGCTGGTTTAGAAGTTGAGGCAAGGCTTTCTATAACAGACACAAGTCTGCTTCCATGAATGAAGCAAGGTAGATGGGAAGTGCTGACCATGCTGAAGAACTAAGGCTAAAAGGACCTAAAACTCTAATGGGAAAGTTTCTACTTGGTTGTTCATGCTTAGGATCCAAGTAGCTCCTCCAGGAAGAAAGAGTTTATGTGGTTATATATATTTTTAATTGTACTCTATTTGAAGCTTTCCGCCCATTTTTGTCCCTTACTATTTTCCATGAAAATTAGCGTTGTACTGATTGGTTAATATCATAGTAATAAAACTACCCTAAAATCTCATTGGTATTAAACCTTATTTAGTATATGTTTGTAGATTGGCTGTGGACCAGATAGCTGATGTACAGTGGACTGAGCTAGGATGGTCTTCTCTTCATATTTTTGCCCACCTGGCCAAGTTTTCATTGCTATGGTGGAGAAACCCAGTGGCACAAGTACTTTCCTGGGTTCTCGTGAGTCACACTGGATGACTTCCCATTAGAGCAAGAAATAAGGCCAGTGCCAGAATTAAAGTCAAAATATAACTTGACCCAGAAAGAGGCTGCAGAGGACTGGAATAATAGGGTAAAAAAATTGGTACATTATGCAATGTACCACAATTATACATATAACATATGTATATATAACATTTATATAGGGTCTCAAAGTCTATTTGTATTTTTTGCATTTGATCTTCACAGTAACTCTGTGAGATCATTGTTTATTTCCACGTTTTATAAAAGAAAAAACAATCAGAAAGGTAAAGCCTCTTACCCAGAGTCATATACCTTGTTATCCATAGAAGGGGACTTTATAATAATTTCTTTTTTAAAGAAAAGTGGGGGCAGAGGGAAGTGATCGCTATGTGACAGGCTGAGGCAGGAGGATCTGGGACCAGATCTTAGGACCAGAGGATCAGAGGATCTTAGGACCACCCTGGGACTATGTAGTAAGAGAAAAACTTTTTAAAGTTAGGCATGGGGTGGAAAAAGAGTGATGGAGTTTTTCTTTCTTTGGCCATCGTTGATCATCTTTTTCCCTTTGTATACAGGATAAAAGAAAAGGGAAGGAGAGCAAAAAAGAAACAAAACCTGAGGTGAAGCTAAAGACCTGATATGGTTGTTGTTAAGGCCTAGCCTGGGAGGTTGTTTCTTGTTTTTCTAATGACTATTTTAGGATTCATGGTACTCCTGTGCAGAGGGAAGAGGCATCATTATATTAAGGAGGAAGGTCAGAAAGAAAACGAACTCATCCATTCTGATGTAGCAGCAGCTAAGGATAAAGGGTACACATTTGGAAGATACTAGGTTACTGCTGCACACTTTTGACTATGTGCTCGTTCTTAGGATATGTGAATATACTTATTTATAAATGATGAGTGCACTGCTATACAAACAAATACACCTTAAAACAAATTTTGTACATAATATTTTAATTTAATATTTTAATAATTTTACAACTAGTCATTCATGGGATATCATCCACCATCCTTTTTACTTTGGAAGTTGTGTTTTTTTTTTCCATTTCAGTGGCATAGTAACTGAAAAAGATACCTCACAGAGAACAACATTTACAATGACTACACAGGGAGAGGGGTCATTATTGTTGGTATTGGAAGATAAAATAGTATTTCACAGTCTGTGGTACTGACAGTTGGAGATAAAAGTTGGCTGGCATCATTCATTCACTCAACATGAAAATTTAGAAACTGCTGGGCATGGTGGTACACATGTGTAATCCCAGCTTGCAGGAGGCTCAGGCAGGAGGATCATGAATTCAAGGCCAGCTTGGGAAATAAGTGCTCACATAGACATAAGGAAACTGTCTCAAAACAACCAACCAACCAAAACAAACCCTCTAGGGCCTTCCTTCTCCCCCTACATGGAATCCTTTGTTGAATCCCATTGTTTTACTTTGTTCAAGTCCCTCCCAAACCATGATTGCATTCTACTCTTGCTGCCTCTTCCTCCCAGGTTCTCAATCGGGCACCATTCTCAGCACCATTCACTCCAGAGTCAGGACAGCTCACTACTCCCTGAATATGTCTGTACTGTCTTTCTGCTACCACAACCCTCTGACAATGCTACCCATCTTTCCTGGCCTTGTTCAAATACTACCTCTAGGAGACCTAGAAAGCCATTCCCCCTACTCTGTGTCTATATTAGGTAATGTTAGTTACATTATTTAACCACGGCCTACCTCACATCCTACTAATGTGAGTTTCTATCTTATTGCCTAGATATTAAGTCCTTAAGACACAGACCATGTCATACTAGCTTACCAAGAGGTCAATAAATTATTTTGCATTTAGCAATAGATGAATAAATGTATGCATCTAATTCAGTCCATGAGACTGACTTTAGCACCAAGTTTGACACTCCTTTTAATAGGACACCAGAGACTCATCAGTGTGTTAATGACTGGATTTTGTCAGCCCTAGGATATTAATAGCTCCCACTAACTGCATGCCTTGTGTGTGCCAACCATTACACACATATTACTTATACTCGTTAAAATAAAACTGCAGAAACCAGGAGATATTTATCATCCTCATTTTACGGATTAGGAAATGCATGTTTCGTGAGGGTAACTTGCCCTTATAACTGCAAGTATCCCAAAACTGGGGCTAGCAGCTAGGTTTGTCTGGTTCTTAAAACAGTAGACCATAGCATCCTTGTGTGGGCTGGGTCCATTTTGTTTTGTGGCAGAGTTCAACGTCAGACCCATCTCAAGAGGATCCGGTGGACAGCAAGTGCTTACTGAAAAAATACACACATCTTTCCTGCACTAAAGTCTTCTGCCAGCCATGGCAGAAATGCATTGATGGAACCTGTACTTGTAAGCTCCCTTATCAGTGCCCAAAGAATGGCACCTCCGTGTGTTCAACCAATGGAAAAAGCTACCTGACGTACTGTCATCAGAAGAGCTTTGAATGTCTTCGTCCAGGGGCAAAGTTCTTAAATCAAGGAACATGCACAGCTGAAGGTAGGAAAGCTATCCTGTGGCATAAGAGGGTCATTGTATATCATTTTTTCTATTAGAAAATCATTTTACTATAAAATGTTCTGAAGACATCCCAAAAATTTAGACTCAATAGCAATGGAGAAATATAGTCACTAGAATCCAGCCATCCTGTGAATTCAGAGTACAAGATTTGAGGTGCCACTCACTACTGCCTGGTGCCTTAGAATTGTCCCCACTTTGTCTGCTTAATTAAAGGGATCATTCCCAGAGCCACTCAACTAGTTTAGACTTCAGTGAACAAGTAAGTCTTTTTTTTTGGGGGGGGGGGAGCTGGTCATGGGGCCTGAACTCTGGGCCTGGGCGCTGTCCCTCAGCTCTTCAGCTCAAGGCTAGCACTCTACCACTTGAGCCACAGCACCACTTCTGGCTTTTTTCTTTTTGCTTGAATTGAACCCAGGGCCTCAGGCATGCAAGGCAAGCGCTTTACCACTGAGCCATCTTCCCAGCCAAACCAAAGTTTTTGTTTTGTTTTGTTTTGGGTCCGGTAGTGGGGCCTGAACTCTGGGCCTGGGCACTGTCCCTCAGCTCTTCAGCTCAAGGCTAGCACTCTACCACTTGAGCCACAGCGCCACTTCCGGCTTTTTTCTTTTTGCTTATGTGGTGCTGAGGAATCAAACCCAGGGCCTCATGCATGCAAGGCAAGTGCTCTACCACAGAGCCACCTTCCCAGCCCACAAGTAAGTCTTTATATGAAATTGGTTCTTACATGTAGTAAAGTAGCCTAGCTAGGCCTCAACTCCCCTTGGATCTCTAGCCTTAGGGTTTCTTCTAGCATCTATCTTCTCAGGTCTTTCTACTCCAGGCCCAAACCATTGTCTCTGACTATCCAAGAAACTTGAGACAGCATTAAGGATAACACATTCCTTCCTACCAAACTTGGCGGGTCAGGCCAGGAACTTGTCTACATTCCATGGCAGGTGATGTGGTGAGAGGCTGGGACCCTCATATGTGGGTTAGAAGATCGTTTAAGATTGGAGATTTCACTGACATTTAGGTTGAGCTTTCAGGTTCCTCTAAGTCCTTCCTCAGTTACTGACAATCTGTGTGACATCTGTGCAATGTAAAAATCAACAAAATGAGGCACAAAAGCTCTCTGCACAGTGCTCAGGGCACAAAGAAAGTGTGCATTAAATTCCAGCTCTCATAGCAAAACTCAGGTTCATGTTCTTCTGATAGGAAGTTACTGCAGATATTTCTGAATTTACAGAGGAATGCTGACACATTCTTTGTAAAGTTACCATGACATACCTCAGCCTGTGGTTGCCTATTTAATTTCCTGGTGTTAAGATGTCAAGGTACTGTGGGGAACAAAGAACAAAGCTCCCTGGCTGAGCCTGTCTCCCCTCCCTGTTGACTGGAAGAAGGAAATAGTTGAGTTTATTTTGTAAATGTCTGACATTAAATGCTTCAAATTTATGAGGAGACATAAATCCTCTCTATAGTGTTGTTAATTGTTTAGCTTACTTTAGGACTGTGGACTTTGGAGTAAGATAAATGAAGCAAATGTCAATTCCTGGCTTCACCTCTGGGGCTGGTAATAACTTCTAGACAGGTTTTGTGTGTCTGAAAAGGGACATACAGGCTCCATCTTCAGAGAGATGATGTTAATGTTTAGTGATATTTTTCCTACATGACTGGACAGCACAGCCATTGACATAAGCACTCATAAAATGGTTGCTTTAAAGATTTTAAATTAGGGCTGGAAAGGTGCGTGCATGAGGCCCAGGGTTCGATTCCTCAGCGCCACATAAGCAGAAAAAGCCAGAAGTAGCGCTGTGGCTCAAGCAGTAGAGCTCTAGCCTTGAGCTGAAGAGCTGAGGAACAGCGCCCAGGCCCAGAGTTCAGGCCCCACGACCGACAAAAAAAAAAAAAGATTTTAAATTACAAGGGGAGAAAGTGAATGCCTGAGTATTGTTGGTGGTTTTTATTTTAGGAAAATTTAATGTTTCCTTAAGTTATGGGAACACAGATTCAGAGGGAATTGTTGAAGTAAAACTTGTGGACCAGAAGGAGAAAATGTTCATATGTAAAAGGAGCTGGAGCATGACTGAAGCCAATGTGGCCTGCGTTGACCTTGGATTTCAACAGTAAGCACTTACATAGATGGGGATTTTTCTCAGGGTTGATTGTTTTGTCCCAACTGTTTGCTTTCTGATTATTTAATCTTCCCATGCATCACTTTCCTCCTATGTAACCTGGGAGCATTAATTTCCACCTCAGAGCCTTGCTGGGAGGATTAAATATGCTCATGTTTGCATAACACTTAGATCCTGCTGAGCAGGTGATTCTGCAGACCACCGGTAAGCTTCCTTAAATATCTGCACTGAATCCCTTAGTGACTCTCAAAGTCTTAAATGCACTCATTACTGTCCATTTCCACTTGTTCTTATTGAATGTTGTCTGTTTATAGCCCCCCTCTTTTATTTTTTGCCTGTCCTGGGGCTTGAACTCAGGGCCTGGGTGCTGTCCCTGAGCTTCTTCTGCTCAAGGCTAGCATTCTACCACTTGAGCCACAGAACCACTTCCAGCCTTTTCTGTTTATGTAGTACTGAGGAATTGAACCCAGGGCTTCATGAATGCTAGGCAAGCACTAAGCACTCTACCACTAAGCCACATTCCTAGCCTTTGTTGTTAACTCTTATGTTCAAGTCTTTTTCTATTTCTTTACTTTTAAACTTTTTGTATCTCCATGGTATTTTTCCCTCCTTCCTTCCTTCCTTCCTTCCTTCCTTCCTTCCTTCCTTCTTTCCTGCCTCTCTCCTCCCTCCATCCTTTCCTTCTTTTCTCCCTCTCTCGTTCCTTCTCTCCTTCCTTCTTTCCCTCCTTTCCTCCTACCTCAACCTCCCAAGTGCACGTGACAAACAACCTATAGTTTTAACCTAATAGTAAACTCTCTTAATCTTCAGTCTCTCGGTGTATTTTCTGTTGCCACATTTTGCATAAGGACAAATTTCTCTGCTTTTAGCTAGTGAGAACTTCTCTTACATCCTTAAGAGCTCCTTGAGTTTATTTTATTATATTTTTTATAGTATTGTTAAGTTGTGAGGTCTTTCTTATTTAGCTATCATATTGTCCCAAATGGCTCTTTTTTTGTTATTATGGATCAACTTCTTAACTACTGTATCTTCATTATGTATCTAGAACAGTAACGAATACAGTACCCTTTTGTTCTTTTCATTTCAATTAGTCTGAAAATTAGATTGCCATTAGTGTTTTATTTCTGGTTCCATTTGTCATAGGTATCTTCACTTACTTTTAGTTTTTAACCTAGTTTTTCTTATTTGCTTTTAAAGAATAGCAGAAATTATTGAGTATGGTAGAAGCCCGGCTCACTGTAAATCATCATCTCTAGGATGTTGGGGAACTGAGGCGTTCTTTGCACAAATTCTTAGCAAATTTTAAAGTCTAAGTAACAGTATAGAGATGCTAAAATATCAATACTATATCAAGGTTAAATTGAAGATGCAGCTTAGTGTAAAGACAAATTGGAATGACTAGAGGGAAGCCAACTTCATTTACTATTTCTTAAGCAATAACGTGCCAGGTAATTAAGCCTTATAGTATGATGCATGTAGAGAGACTCCCATAAGGCAAAGATGGAAATCTGAGCCGAGCATACCTGATTTATATTTTCTTAAACCTCTGATCAAATTAATCTACTCCCTCATGTGGAAAGAAAATCAACTTAAAAAGAGAAGACATGTCAGAATGGAAGGAAACCTTAGGAATGAGAAAGTGGCATTCTTCCTTAACAAGAAATAGGAATGGGAAAACTAATTGTTGATGGAGAACTTGACATTTTTTGAACCTTGGCTGGTTAGTTCACATGGAGTATTTTAGTTAATCTATACAAAATCTAGTGAGATAGTTCTATTCACTATTTATTTATTTATGTATTTTTGGAGCTGATACTGGGGCTTGAACTCTAAATACTGTTTCTTAACTATTTCATTTAAGGATAGCACTATCACTTGAGTTACAGTTCCACTTATGGTTTTTTAGAGGTTAATTGGAGATAAGAGTCTCATGGACTTTTGCAGCACAAGCTGACTTTGAAACATCATCTTCAGATCTCAGCCTCCTGAGCAGCTACAATTATAGGCATGAGCCACTAGAGTCTGGTTTCTATTCACTTTTACAAATGAAGCTATTAAGGCTCAGCGAATGTATAATTCATCTGCTTACAAAATAAAAGTTAATTACTTTAGGCCCTTACCTTTTACAACAGGACTGTAAACTCTAAAGTGCTAATTATTCTGCCATTATGTTTGATTTATTCTGTTTGCAGGGGTGCTCTTAGTACTCAAGGAAGGTTTTATCCACCTACAGATCTCCACATTAACACCACTGAATGTCTGCATGTGCAGTGTCGGGGATTAGAGACCAGTTTAGCTGAGTGTACTTTTACCAAGAAAAGAACTAAGATTTACCAGGGCTTAGCTGGTGTGGTGTGTTACACACAGGATACAGGTTGGTGACTCACTTGTCTGATGTTTTCCATTCTTTCAAGCTTGCTTCTTTCACACCAGGCTTGTAATAAACAAACAATGATCAAAACCCACTTGTCAGTTCAAGGAGACTTTGTTTTGGGCTTTAGTGTCTACACTGATGCTTTCCCCCATTATTCCTTTTAGCCATTCAAATATTACTCCTCTCTAGTTCTTTGATGAGAGAAATCTTGCCCAATTCCCTTCAGCTTCCTCTAAGATCTATATTAAAGTTACTATAGCAAACACGAGGATAGGGAGAACTTCCAGCATCTCCTTTGGGCATTCTAGCTTATATGTCTTTCTTTACAATGTTCAGACAATAGCTCCCTTTCCAAGCAGTCACTGCTACTTTGCTCCTCCATCCTTTTACTGGAATATTTTGGCCATATGTTTGGTGTTAAACACCAAAGCTATACCCTGTTCAATCAACCTGGAAATGGTATAGTACACGTGTGCCCTGGAAGTAGGGGTGGCACTAGTATTGTAGCACTAAGAAGAAAAGGTGAGCACCTATGTTTGCTCAGATCAGCTAATGCTCCTGGCTCCAGTAATTACAAATTGCCACAACCAGTACTGGTTTTTCAGAGGTATTGAAAAAGGCCCCCATCTGCCAGTTTTGACATTTATTGTCACCATCAAACACACGTCATATGTTAATTCTACCAGTAGATTTTATATCATTTTTATCTTAATGACTCCATTGTTCCAAAACATGTGATGAGGCTATGATGTCACAATTCCATGAATAAATTTCACAAAGATCATTCCTGTTTTACAGCTTCTCCGACAGATCGGTCCTTCCAGTGTGTGAATGGGAAATCCATTGCCTGGGAGAAGGCATGCAATGGTGTCAATGATTGTGGAGATCAAAGTGATGAGCTGTGCTGTAAAGGTAGATAGATAGAAGGCTGTTCCCTGCCCCCCACATTCATTCTTCTGACTAAAAAAGTTCAAGCAGTTTTACTGTTGAATTTCAGTTTCCTGTTCATTCTGTTTGTGGTGATGATGATGATGATGGGAATTGAGCCTAGGGCCTTTTTCACATCTAGGCAGGCACCCTGCCACTGAGCTACCCCAGCATCCTCCCCATCCAGTTTCAAGAAGCGGAAGAAACTTCTGTTTGTGTTTGCACAGGATGCCGAGACCAAAGCTTCCTTTGCAAGTCGGGTGTCTGCATCCCCAGCCAGTATAAATGCAATGGCGAGGTGGACTGCCTTACGGGAGAAGATGAAGTTGGTTGTGAAGGTAATCTAAAGTTTGTGGCGTCTTTTCCTGTTCACTTTTGAATCTAGAGAGTCTGAAACTTTTTGTGGGGCAAATGAAAATTTCCTTCAACACTGTGATACCAGAGACTGAACCCAGGACCTTGCACTACGAGCTAAGCATTGGCTTCCACTTGAGCCTGGATCATAATCTTAAGTGAGAGTACCAATAGGGATATTTCTGAGGAGGCATTTAAACTGTGGAATGTTCATCTTATATCTACTTGTTATCTCAAAACATTTTAATTTACTTATTTTTAATTAAAAAAAATTTTTGTCAGCCATGGGGCTTGAACTCTGGACCTGGGCACTGTCCCTCAGCTCTTCAGCTCAAGGCAAATGTTCTAACACTTGAGCCACAGTGCCATTTCTAGTTTTCTGAGTCGTTTATTGGAGATAAGAGTCTCAGGAACTTTCCTCTCTGAGATGGCTTTGAACCACAATCCTCATATCTCAGACTCCTGAATAGTTAGAATTATAGGCATAAGCCACTGGTGCCTGGTTAGAACATTTTAATTTAAAAAGATACTCACATATGCAAGAAATAAAAAAAAACCTGATCTTCTGTGAACCCATCCTCCAGCTATAAGTTATTGATAGCTTGCTGGTCTTGTTCATTTTCCTTCCTGCTTATTTTCCTGTCTGTGGCTTTTTTGTTACAGTATTTTCAAAAATATCTCAGATTTATATGTACATATTAGTATATGTATACATATATACTATATATGCCAAACACCATTCTCTCTTAAGTATGCCAACAAACAGTACTACAAACAATAACATCATTTAATAACAGCCACGTCTAAATTTTCCCATCTCAAAAATGTCCCTATCAAGCTAATGAGTTCAAATCAGGATTCTAAAGAATACAGATGCTGTATTTAATAAATTTAAATTTTTTCTTTTAGTCTTTAAGTCACCTCACCCATCTCCCTACTCCAATGTTTTCATGCAATGAAAATGGGTCCTTATGTCTCTTAATCTGGATTTATGGAATTGGTTAGATGTAGGATTCAATATTTTGGGCTTGAATTCTTAGAATATTTGGCAGAATACTTCCCATTACTCATAATGTCTAACTGTCTAGTTGTCTTATTTCCAGTGATGCTAACTAACATTGATCCCTGATGGCATGATTTAAAAAACTTCCCCACATCTTTTAGCCAATGTGGCGATTGTATCTCCATCTATTTTGTCAGTAGGGGCTACAAAATGTCTATTCCTAATTGCATGATTCTCTTTGCATATACTGACTGAAATTGTATGGGGAAAACTTTTTTTCATCAGCTATGCTTTGTTTCCATGCAATGTAATTCATAGTAGAAAAGTAGAATAATACCAATTCTCTCCCTTTACTAACCAAGTCTCAGAGCAATGAGCGGGTGTTCTGGACAGCCCCCAATGGTGAAAAATAATCTCTGCCACACAGATGGACATTTTACTCCGAGCAATGTTTTCTGAAGGGCATTTTTCTTTAGAGTATCATATTCACTTTACTTCCCCCATGAGCCTGTATTAAGTTCCTGAAATGTGTGCCAGGAGGTTTCAGTAGCAAAACAAATTTAAAAGCCTTGACCTTTTACGGATCTTACATTGCAATGAGGAAACAATGACAATAAATATGAGAAATAAGTAAAAGACTGGTTAAAAAAAGTACTAAGAAAATCTTATGCAAGGAAATTGTTAGAAGGAAATTTTGGGGGGGGGGGTCAGTTGTAGGGCTTGAACTCTAGGCTTGGGTGCTGTTCCTGCACTCTTCAGCTCAAGGCGAGTGCTCTTCTGCTTGAGCCACAGCACCACTTCTGGTTTTCTAGTGGTTTATTGGAGATAAGAAGTTCATGGACTTTCCTGTCCATGCTGGCTTTGAACCGTGATCCTCAGATCTCAGCCTTCTGAGTAGCTAGGATTACAGGTGTGAGCCACCAGTGCCCAGGTAAGTTTTGAAATTTTAAATAAGGTGTTATGAGAAGGATTCAGGGAAATGACTTCTAGATAAAAAGTCTACAGAAGAGTGTCCCAGACAGAGCAGTAGCAGTGCAGTGTTCCCCTCCCCACAAGAGCACCCCTAATTTGAAGAAGAGCAGCAAGGAAGCTAGTGTAACTGGTGGCCCAGTAATGGGATTAGAGACAAAGCAAAAGAAGTGAGGGTGGAAGGTATCAAGGTGGATAAAATAGTGAAGTCGGGCACAGTGACATAGTCTGACTTCTAATTTAAATCTAGATTTCTCTGACTGCCAGGTGGGGAATAGTTCTATTAGGATAGAGGAGAGGCAGAGACCCAGTTTGGAAGCTACAGCAATCATTCAGAGAAGGATGTGTGACTCGGATGAGTTGAGAAACAGCAAGATTCTGCATTGTTTTTGAAGGTAGAGCCAGTGAGACTTGTCAACTGATTGGCTGGGTGTTGCAAGCAAATGAGCCATGAAGAGTAGTTCCAATATTTTGAACTTCAAGTTGAAAGGATAGGGCTGCCTTCAATGAGCCTGGGGAAGGCAGGGGAGGATCAGTGTGCACAACTACCCTATTCGTGGACTGTACCAGCGGTGTACTGGGAAATGCCCCACAGCCAGCTTTAGAGAGGAAGTGGAAGCCATGACTTGTAGCTTTTGCCAATGTTTGTGGCATAAATACTCCACCATGGAAGTTTCAAGCCATTGACATGCTGTGGTAGAAAGTTGGGAAGTAAGAGGCACCAGGCACCACAGGCTCTTGGGAACTGGTACCAGGCCACACCACACGTCACCGGGTTACTTCAACTACTTTTCATGGGCTTTGTGCTTGCCTTTCCTTCTCTAACTTTTTACTTAAAAATAGAATCTATTCAATTATTTTCATATTTCAAATATCCTCAGGTAAGTGCCTCACACATAAGCATTAAATACAGATTGACAATATTTGTGAGTAAATGAATTGATACCAATCATATTTGGCATTACTGAATAGGCCAATGACATCCTCTTTAATTTTCCATTGATATTTGATATTGGTTCTTAAAGGACAGATTTTTAGGATATCATTTTTTTTTTTTGGGTCCGGTCGTGGGGCCTGAACTCTGGGCCTGGGCACTGTCCCTCAGCTCTTCAGCTCAAGGCTAGCGCTCTACCACTTGAGCCACAGCGCCACTTCCGGCTTTTTTCTTTTTGCTTATGTGGTGCTGAGGAATCGAACCCAGGGCCTCGAGCATGCAAGGCAAGCGCTCTACCACTGAGCCACCTTCCCAGCCCAGGATATCATTTTTTTAGGATTTTAATTTTATCTCACTTTTTAAAGGAGATGAGGAAAAAAGTGCTTTTATGTTCAATTTAGTTCAATCCTTAGTGGAGAGAGGAAAAAAAAATATTTCAGGTAGAAGAAGAGTTAGCCATAACTCCTGGCAATGAAGTCTACACTAAATCTCACTTCTTTAATGTAATAATATTTTAGACTCTGTCCTTTTCTTTTTGCACCTGCTCCCTGCTTCTATTTAAAATAATGAATATTAAGGTCAAGAGATACAATGTGCTAGTTTTATCAGAGAAAAAAAATGCACCAAAAGAAATAAACTACAAGCTGGGCACTGGTGGCTCATGCTTGTAATCCTAGTTACTCAGGAGGCTGAGATCTGAGGATCATGGTTCAAAGCCAGCCTGGGCAGGGTTGTGAAACTCTTATCTCCAATAAACCATGAGAAAACTGGAAGTGGTGCAGTGGCTCAAGTGGTAGAGCACTAGCCTTGAGCTGAAGAGCTAAGGGACAGTGCTCAGGCCCAGAGTTCAAGCCCCATGACTGACAAAACAAACAAATAAATAAATCAACTACAATAGCGAACTTCATTTTCATGTAACTTCTGAATCTTTGTAAAAAAATACACTTACACAGTTAGCATTGTTATTTCAGTTTACTCTTCCTAGAACGAGCTCCACCTTTATATCTCATCAATAGCTCTTTCTACCCTCCCACCCAATACCACACTAACACTGGGAAATGACAAGTAAAGGCAGAGATGGAAGATTAACACTCACTAGTCTCTCATTTAAGGGGACATAAATCAATAAATTATAAATCAAAGGACGTTTGGAATGTATCTTGAGTGTTTCTCTTTTATAAGCCCTTCTTTTATTAATACACATTAAAAGTTATAAATTCTCTATAATTCTCTAGTAAATTTGCCCCTGAGTGTGTATTCAAATGGACCTAAATGTTATTCTTTTAAATCTAAATTAAGATGATTTCTTCGGTTGTAAAATTGGTATATGCTTAAATGCAAGGCAAAAATTCTATTATAAACTATTAAAATTTAAAGTAAATGGCATTACTGTTTGGTTTTCTTTTGCATTTAATAACTATTCATTTTGAACTTTTATACTATGGTTCTAAAATATTAATGGTGTGGGTATATTTTACTCAAGTGAAATGATTTTATTGCGTTAGTGAGTATTTTGTTTGATTTTTGTTTTAGGAGCCAGACTTCCTGAAACTCAAGGTAAACAGTGTGTGTGTGTGTGTGTGTGTGTGTGCGCGCGTGCACACGCGCCAGTCTTGGGGTTTGAACTCAAGGTCTGGGTATTGTTCCTGAGCTTATTTTGTCCAAGGATAGTACTCTACCACTTGAGTCACAGCTAAACAACTCGTTGGTTGTTTATTGGAAGTAAAAGTCTTGCAGACTTTCCTTCCCAGGCTGACTTTGAACCATGATCCTCAGATCTCAACATCCTGAGTGGCTAGGATTACAGCCATGAGCCACTGGTGCCCAGCTAGTAAATCTGTTTTTATAACAGAAAATTTACATAGCTGTGGAAAGCAAGGTGTTTCGATCTTTATGTTATATAGAGAGAGTAATGTGTTCAGGGTTTTATTTACACACATTAAAGGAATTCAGTATAAGGGAATAGGAACTGTGTACAGATTCTCCACATTGTGAAGCAGTTCTGCATGTATTGATAAGAGTGACTAGAATATACGCCAGTAAAATAAATGTACAGTTGTATCAATATGCTAACATGTTTCCCTTTGCTTTAGTAAATGTTTTGGTTTTGTTTTTCTTCAGGACTTTCACGTTCTACTCAAGGTAAAATTTTATTGCAATATTACAATATTCAAACCTTGAAACAATTGCCTTCTAATATTTTAATATCAATATTAACTAAGCATGATTTGATATTGTCTTGCCAATAACTGAGCTTTCCCATTAGTTTAGACACAGAGGGCTTTGGTTGAGTGATAAAACTTTCAATCTCACACTCTTATCCACCACCTGCTGACCAGAAAATCATCCAGAATGGGACCAGCCCTGCACATTTCATCTTTCCCAAATATTTTTCTGCCCTTCCTTTAATTTTTCTGTTTCAAAATGTAGGCAGCTCCTAAAGAATTGTTACCCGATGAAATATATCCTATTTTCCAGATATCCTCAAAGCCTCCAGCTCTTCGGAGCTACCTTTCCTTAGTTACTCATGTAGAATGATCACGTTCAAGCCTACAGAATGCCCATCGTTCACGGCCCTCCTCAGGACGTTAGATTTCCTGGGAACTAACCCACTCAGAGCCACTCCTTCCCCGCAGTGCCTCTCACTCACCATTTCACCCCTCTGAAGCTGCTGTTCCCTGTCCTCTCTGACTCCATTCATTCTTTTTTTGTTGTTCCCTTCCTCCTTTCCTCCCTTCTTCCCTCCCTCATCTCAGATCTCACCTCAGAGGAGTTAATGATACTGCTCAATTCATTGTATATAATCATCATTTCTTCAGCCCTGGCCCCCTCTAGCTTATTTTTCCCCCTTTATCCCTCTACTTTATTCCCATTCCCTCCCCCCAACACACACACACACACACAATCCTAATGTGATTTAATGCCTATGCCATTTTATTTGTGTGCTGTGTTTCCCAATGTTCATTATTCTATAAGCATACAGTTTTAATTCATGTATTGTGGGTCTCGTGTTTCCTTTTTTCCTTTCTTTTCAAAATGTCACACCTTAGAGATCTATCCACATTCTTATATATTCATCGAATCTATTACTTTATGCCTGTATAAAATTCTCCGTCACATTCATCTTTCCCAATTTATTCTCTGCTTCTTCAGCCACGGACTTGCAGCCCACAATCACACTGTAATGAATATCTTCTGCTTCAGGGTGTATGGGTGCATTTCTTTGAGACATCTAACTGGGCAAGGGATTATTCAGTCTTGAGGTATGCATATCTCTAATCGGCCACTTGTACCTTCACGTTCTTAGACAAAGCTGTTATACATCAGTCCTCCCTTCTGCCAATACTACCTGGGGATTCTCCTCACCCCAACACCAGCTAGCACTAGTCAACTTTCTGACAACTGTCAAGCAATAACATTGTTTATTTGCTTATAGTCTGGTAAATACCAGTGTTTTTGTTATAGACTCATGGTAGAGTAGCATTTTGAGTTTGCTCTACTTTTCCTTTCCTCTCTCCTTCCTTTCAGTAGTCCACATCTTTTGCCTAGTTTTTTTTCTACTGCATTGTTCTTCCTTACTGGAGAATCATCTCCAATGATTCTCTTTGCATTCTCGATATTGATCAATTATCAGTTTTAGACACTGAAAATACTTTGTTCTATTCTCTAACCCCTCTATCTGTTAATTCTATTCACCTTGAAATTTGTTGAACAAAACCCCTTAATTTTTATGTAACCAAAGACATCAACTGTTTTTCTTTTGTACTTTTGAGGGTTTGTGCTGCTTTTCTAAAACCCAAGATAGTTGAGCTATCCCAGATTTCCCCCTACTTTCCTTTTTGAATGTTGCCTCTCATTCACAAGTGTACCTTGTATACTTCTGAACACTTTCTTGCCCTAGAAAACACTTAGGTACATGTTATACCAGACAGATGTAGCTTTTTCCCACAGAGAACTTGGGAAATCCAGAAATATAAGCCAGTATTGCTTCATCTAAGTAACATTGCCTTTTCTGGGCTATGCTGTCTCTATCACATACCAGATACCCATCAACATGTCCAGGCCAAAGAAATCATAATCCTATCTTCTGAAACGTTGTAGAGCAGCAGAGTGAGGATGGAAACATCCTATCTAACTTCAAGCAAAAGGAAGAAAAGGAATATTTCCTTTGGGATTTGGAAGTAAAAAATAAATTTGCTGGTGGCTGGGAAGGTGGCTTAGTGGTAGAGTGCTTGCCTAGCATGCATGAAGCCCTGGGTTAGATTCCTCAGAACCACATACACAGAAAAAGCCAGGAGTGGTGATGTGATTCAAGAGGTAGAGCACTAGCCTTGAGCAAAAGAAGCTCAGGGACAGTGCCCAGGCCCTGAGTTCAAGCCCCAGGACTGGCAATAAATAAATAAATAAATAAATAAATTGCTACCTCTATCTACTCCTAAAACCAACGATATATATTTGTAGGCATGATCCTTATAAGAGATGCATTATATTGTACAACATGAAAGGACCCTTTTAAATGATGGTTCTGCTCTCTTGTACATGCCAGTGACTGCTTTCTTTTCATGGAAAGAGTTTTGACTGCAGAGTTGAGAAAAAAAGTCTCCTCTGACCTATGCATTTTGTCTGAATTTAATAAGAAAGGTGTAGCATCCTGAGTGTTTCAAAAAATTATTTTAGGGGCTTGGAAGGTGGCTCAGTGTTAGAGCACTTGCCTTGCATGCATGAGGCCCTGGGTTCAATTCCCAGCACCACATAAGCAAAAAGAAAAAAAAAAACGGAAGTGGCACTGTGGCTCAAGTGGTAGAGTGCTAGCCTTGAGCTGAAGAGTTGAGGGACAGCGCCCAGGCCCAGAGTTCAAGACCCACGACCGGACCCAAAATTTTTTTTTATTTTATTGTAAAGATGCTGTACAGAGGGGTTACAGTTACATGAGTAAGATAATTAGTACGCTTCTTGTTGAACATGTTACCCCCTTCTTTTTTTTCCTACTATCCCTTCCCCCCACCTTTCTCCCTTTCCCTCTTGCCCCCCACCCCCACCGAAGTTGTAAAGATCATTTTCAACACAGTGTCTTGTGAGTATCATTGTTGCAATGGGTCATCCTGTGTCCTTGTTTCAGCATTCTGTTATTCCCCTTCCCTTCCCCAAATCAGATAAATCTATATACAAGACACAGGGTACCAAAATCAAATACAGTGACAACAAGGGATATACCATACGGGGAAGAACATACAAAGAAACAAACAAAAAAATTGCATAGTACATTTAAGACAAAAACAACAAAGGAAAACCTCTTGTGTGCATATCTTGGGGTCATTTCGCTTAGCATCTTCTTAGATAGTCACATGTATAACTTTCAAGATTTTCTGCTCTTTGGATAAGACTGCTAAACCTATATTAATCATTGCAAATAAGGGAAACCATGGATCTATATTTCTCTATGTCTGGCTTACTTCACTTAATAGGATTTTTTCCAAGTCTTTCCATTTCCTAACAAATGAGATGGTCTCTTTCTGATGGAAGCATAGAATTCCACTAGATATAGATATAGATAGATAGATAGATAGATAGATAGATAGATAGATAGATAGATAGATAGATAGATAGATAGATAGATAGATAGAGGCTGGGAAGGTGGCTTAGTGGTAGAGTGCTTGCCTCACATGCAGGAGGCCCTGGGTTGGATTCCTCAGCACCACGTAACAGAAAAGGCCAGAAGTGGCACTGTGGCTCAAGTGGTAGAGTGCTAGCCTTGAGCTGAAGAGCTGAGGGACAGTGTCCAGGCCGAGGATTCAGCCCCATGACCAACAAAAAAGAAAAAGAAAAAAAGGAAGATAGATAGATACATCTATCTATCTCTATATACATATACATATATTTATATATAATTTTCTTGATCCATTCATCTACTGAAGGGCATCTGGGTTGGTTCCATATCTTAGCTATGGTGAATAATGCTGCAATAAACATAGTCATGCTGGTAGCTTTAGTATTGCTTTGTTTGTGATCATTTGGGTAAATGCCCAGAAGTGGGATTGCTGGGTCATAAGGGAGCTCTATGTGTAATCTTTTGAGGAACCTCCATACTGCTTTCCAGAGTGGCTGACCAAGTTTACACTCCCACCAACAGTGCAGTAGCGTTCCATTTTGGCCACATCCCCTCCATAATCTGTTGTTATTAGATTTTTTGATTATACCCATTCTAACTGGGGTGAGGTGGAATCTTAATGTTGTTTTGATTTGCATTTCTTTTATGGCTAGAGAAGTTGAGCCTTTCTTCATGTGTCTATTGGCCATTCTTATTTCTTCTTCAGAGAAGTCTCTAAGTCTTTTTATTTTGTCAGTCATGGGGCTTGAACTCTGGGCTTGGGCGCTGTCCCTGCGCTCTTCAGTTCAAGGAGAGCACTCTACCGCTTGAGCCACAGCGCCACTTCCAAGTCCACTTATTGATAGGGTGGTTGTTTCTTTGATAATTTGTTTATGGGGGTTATTTTTTTGACTTCTAAGTATATTTTACACCAAAAGACACCTCCAGTGTGTGCCAGCAAGAATTTCTACCTTTAATAGCCAGAGAAAGAAAATCAGATGACATGCTTTGAGAATTCTGTATAGTCATTTTAAACAGGAAGACAAATTTGAAGACAAAATTATTGTCAGGGTTTAAATGATTTCATCTTCTCTATAAACATAACCATAAACACTGTATCTTTGTTTGATTATTTTATCATAGAAGAAAAAGAAATAGAAGAACTTTTGACTCCTGATATGGATGTGGGTAAGTTAACATCATACTTTGTTACTTTTTATTGGTGGTTCATTGGTCTCACTTAAGTTCACATTTGAATGTTGTGTGTATGGACATTAAATATGGCTATGTTGTATTTGTAATTTATGCAAATACTTCTTAACTTATATACATTTATAAAATATGTTAATTGTATAAAGGAGTTTCTTTGTAATATTTCCATACTTACATCTAAATGTACTTTTATCAAATTCATCCCTACACAATTTTGGTGTTCCCCATCTCCTGCAAACATTTTAATGACTCCAGTATTCTATTTTCATACATGCATATAAAGTACTTCAATCATGTTCAACATCACTTCTACCTTCTCCTTTTCACACTTCTTTTCCCACTGATTCTGACCCCAATATAGTCCCCAATATATACTTAAATTGAAAAATGTATCATTCTTCTTCTTTCCCTGTCACGTTTTTTTTTGGTTGGTCATGGGGCCTGAACTCTGGGCCTGTGTGCTGTCTCTCAGCTCTTCAGCTCTAGGCTATGCTCTACCACTTGAGCCACAGTGCCACTTCCAGCTTTTTCTACTTATGTGGTGCTGAGGAATCGAACCCAATGCCTCATGCATACCAAGCAAGCACTCTACCACTGAGCCACCTTCCCAGCCCCTCCCTATCACTTTTAAGAAAAACAAGCATGAATGGTTTTTTGTTGTTGAAGTTCGTGTGGCTTGAACTCAGGGCTTAGACACTGAGCTGCTTTTGCTCAAGGCTAGTGCTCTCCACTTTGAGCCACAGTTCCACTTCTGGTTTTCTGGTGGTTCATTGGAGATAAGAGTCTCATGGACTTTCCTGCTGAGGAACCATAATCCTCAGATCTCAGTCTCCTGAGTAGCTACGATTACAGGCGTGAGCCACCAGTGCCCAGCTCAGCAAAAATGATTTTGAAAGAACTACTTTTGGAAGTAGGGTTAATTCATACGATTAATCTTGAAGTAAGTATTTCTCCAGACCCACATAGAGGCTTGCTATTGGATCTGAACTTTGTCAGGTTAGTTTTGTCCAAAATAGCCAACTTTCAAGCATGATTTACAATGTACCTTCTGAAACTGAAAAATAATCGATGTCAATTGAATCAATCTGTTCTTTTGCAGTGTTGAAAGTCGTGATAAGAGGAAGGATTGAAGATCCATATTCTGGCTAGTTTTGCACGAAAAGCCAAATTCTGTTAAAATATTAAGTTATTTGTGTTAAATTTTGACTCAGTGAAAATCTTTTTTTTTTTTTGTCAGTCATTGGGCTTGAACTCTGGGCCCGGGTGCTGTCCCTCAGCTCTTCAGCTCAAGGCGAGCGCTCTACCACTTGAGCTACAGCGCCACTTCCAGTTTTCTGGTGGTTTATTGGAGATAGGAGTCTCAAGGTCTCTCCTGCCCGGGCTGGCTTTGAACTGTGATCCTCAGATCTCAGCCTCCTGAGTAGCTAGGATTACAGGCGTGAGCCACCAGCTCCCAGCTCTTAAGTTATTTGTTATTCACTTTAGGTTATATACAGTTGGGAATAAAATAGCTATCTGTTTTAGAACTTTTTTTGTGCTACACCTGGGCACTGTCCCTGAGCTTCTTTTATTCAAGGCTAGCACTTTACAACTTGAGTCTCAGTTCAACTTCCAGGTTTTTGGAAATTAATTGGAGATAAGACTCTCACAGATTTTCTTGCCTGGGCTGGCTTTGAACTCTGATCCTCATATCTCAAACTCCTTAGTAGCTAGGATTACAAGCATGAGCCATCATCACCTGGCTATGTTTTAGGACATTTTAAATGAAATGTACAATACTCACTTCTGATTGCCAGATCCCAAATTCGTTAAATTAAAAGAAAATCATTCGAAGGGTGACCTCAAAGATTTAGACCTCAAAGCTACAAATACATCAAGAGCATTAAGTTTTTCTATTTTTTCTTCAAGATTGTGTTACTTTTCAAACATTACCCAAACAGGCTTCAGCTGATAAGGTCTTTCTCTGTCAAAAGTCCAAGCAAATATTTAGTACTTGCCACCATTCTCTTCTTCCAACCCAGGTTTCAGGATGAATGGCACCAAAAACAAAGCAAAACAAAACTTCTATGCAGGGCTGGGAAGGTGGCTCAGTGGTAGAGTGCTTGCCTTGCATGCATGTGGCCCTGGGTTCGATTCCTCAGCACCACATAAGCAAAAAGAAAAAAGCTGGAAGTGGCGCTGTGGCTCAAATGGTAGAGCACTAGCCTTGAGCTGAAGAGCTG